TGGGGGGGGGGGGGGGGGGGGGGTAAAGAGAGGGAGGGTAAGGAAGGAGGGGAGAAAAAGAAAAAGGGAGCAAAAAAAAAAAAATGACCTATTGTCAATTTGTGCAGTAGTTATTCTAAAAATGCTCAACTGGGTAAATGTTATACCTAAACTTTGAGCTGGCATGAGTTCTGTGCAATTAGAAGTCTGTTATAAATGCACACCGCACATGCAAATCTTTAAGCTGTTTGTAAACATTTATATTTTCCTTGTTATGTAGCGAAGTTATCAATTTGCAGCTTAAGTTTTTATTCAGCTTAACAGTTGCAACTTAAAGACAGTGGGAGAGTCAATTTAAATTATATAAAATAAAAGTAAAAACAGTGCATTTACGTTCTTCATAACACCAGGGTTTTTTTTTTTTTTTTTTCCAAATGGTGCTATTTTTCTAAGGAAATTAAATAATTTTAAAATCACTCGTTAAAGTTATACGATGCAAACAAAGACAAAAAAATATATTGAAACGCATGCATTTCTGTAGCGTTAATATTTACTTTTCAAGACTCAACTAAGAGCATCAACACAACCTGTCAAGTTTTTTGACACCCCCCCCAGCCCATGTAATCAATTACAGTATACAATAACAGTAATTCACATTTTTAAACACACAGTTCAACACTGCTGAAGCTGCAAAATCCTTTTTCATCCCAAGCAAACCTTCACAAGACAGTGTCCCAGTGATCCCAGTGTACTTTCAGAATTTCTCTCATTGGGAACTGTCAGAAAACCAGAAGTTGCCACAGAAAGTATTAAGTCAACTGCTTGTTTAAAAATAGATAATCCAGCATTTCAGAAATTTTCCATTTGGGTCTAAAAGCATTCAGGTTTCCAACAGCCAGAAAAGGTTCATGCAATTTGAGATGTATAAAGAGGCTAATAAAACTGGAGGGAATTTCTACTTCAAAAGAAAAAAAAAAAATTGCAGGGGGAAAAAAAAAAAAAAAACAGCTCAAAAGACAATGCAGTGGTGACAAAATTAAGCCCTAGGAAAGCATTTTGTGATAGGACGATCTGATTAACAGGTTTATTGGCTTACTTCCCCTACCCCTCAAAGGAAAAACACGTCTCCGACGCGCTCTAAAGTCGCTTTTATCAGAATGCTAAATTAGTGAGATTCTCATGCTAGTCTAAAGTGCAAAAACAAGTTAATATCCCAACTTTTTAGTTCCAGGAAACAAGACTGCTTTTAGACCGTACCACGACTATATAGAGATCTATTTATATATATGTATATATATTATTTATATAGACGGGTGAGATTATTTCCACAGTTCTTGGGAGCTGTCCTCCAAGGTCCAGTCCCTGACGGCAGGCAGGCTCAGCGCCTCGCTTTTGACCGACAACGAGTTCACCAGCTCGCAGTGGAACTTGCGGATGTGCCTGTACAGGTCCCCGGACTGCGTGAACCTGCGCTCGCACCACTTGCAGGCGTGCGGCTTCTCGCGCGTGTGCACCACGGCGTGGCGGCTCAGGTTGTGCGAGTACTGGAAGCTCTTGCCGCACTGCGTGCACGTGTAGGGCTTCTCGCCCGAGTGGGTCCGCTCGTGGCGCTTGAGCGTGTACATGCACGAGAAGGTCTTGCCGCACAGCGAGCACGTGGGCACGTTGACATCGGCGGCCGGCTTGCTGCGCAGCCCGTCCTGCTCGCGGAAGTGCGTGCTCAGGTGGATCTGCAGGATGTGGGGGCTGGGGAAGACCTTGTTGCACAGGGGGCACATGAAGATCTGGCCGGCGGGGCTGAGGATGTTGGAGACGTAGGGCAGCAGGCTGCTCTCCATGCCGCCCTCCACCGGGACGCGCTCGCCCTCCGGGGTCATGAGCTCGTCGTCGCTGGCTTTGTCCTCGCGGTCCAGCTCCCTCAGCACCGAGTCCTCCCTGAGCGGAGCCAGATGGGCCGGCTCGTACTGTACCCGGGGGTTAGTGCTCACACTTTCTTTCACAGTGCTATGTTCCATGTCATAGTCATTAGTGCCAACATCACTCTCCTCACAGGAAGCCTCTTTCTCCACCTTCACCTGCACCAGGTTGCTTCTCAGCACGTCCTGTGAAGAGAAATAAGAGCTGTTCAGATTTTCAACTCCCGAAAGGCTGGACTTGACAGACAGGTCCAGCACACAGTCAACATCTGCCGCATCCCTCACGGAGGTGACAGACCTCTGGGACAAAGACTCGGTGGAGCTGCAGGGGCTGGCGACTGTTTTCCCAGCTGCCGTGGCGTGGGGCTCGGCCTCGCCGCCAGCCTGGGGGAGGCCTGCGGCGTCCGAGGGCAATCGCATCCACATGTTCCCAGGCTCGGCCGCCAAGTCCCTTTTGCCGGGCAGGATGTGCAGTTTCTCCTCTTCCCCCTCGTCTTCGTCGCTGGGCAGATCGCCGGCCATGTGGCTGCTGCCATCCGAGAGGCTCTCGACTTTGTCCGAACAACTTGAAGCGTCTTCCTCCTTCTTTGTGCTGTCCGCCTCGGTGGTGGCTTTCTCTTTCAGCTTCTTTTTGCAGACTTTGACAATGTCATACATGTGGAGATAACTGGCAGCTGCTAGCACGTCTTCAATGGGCAAGTCTTTGAACTGGAGTTTCCCTTCATACATGAATTCAAGCAGGAGAGCAAAAGCGGGGGCTGTAACAATGTCGCTGTTCAGATGAACAATGTCTCTTTTGTCCAGCTGGTCCTTGTAAAAGAGGTGGAAATACATGCTGCATGAAGCCAGTACAGCTCGGTGCGCTCGGAACTGGGCATCTCCCACCAGAACAGTGCAGTCACAAAGAAAACCCTGGTGTCTCTGCTCGCTCAGACACTGCAGCAAATGTCTACTGTGGTCTGGAAACTCCATACTGTCTTCATAACCTGGGAAAACAGAAATTTCTCATTAGAGCCTAGACAGGAACAACTTTTCAGCGCTCTAGTCCCCATATAAAAAAAATAATTCCGCTCTGGCTGCCGAGGTACATGTCCCTGAATTTTAATCAGGCTTATGACCCAGGGACTACCAAATCACACGCACAAGACCTGAATGCAAGAAGAAAAACATACACTTTCAGAACTTGCTAGCCAAACAGTCTGTGCTGCATCTCCACCTTTCTTGAACTTTCAGTCAAGTTTTAAAAGCCCTCATTTAACTACAATCTCTTACTGAGACTAAGAATTTTGAACTCTTTCACAAATTTAATTAAAGCTGCTCATCAAATTATGTCCCACAAAACCTACAAAGTAGCTTTAATTGCAAAGGGAACTCATATAATGAACAAAGGAAAGTCCTAACGTATTCTGGAAGATTCAAGAAAACTTGTTCAACCATCCTTTTTAATTTATTACTTTTGATATTTGACTGTACTTAGAAAGCACAGTTTAAACACACACACACACACACACACACACACACACACACACATGGCTGAATCAAGAAAAAAAATGAAATCTCATAATTAGTTTGGAAATCAGCAAACAACTTACTTTTAAAGTCACAGTGTTACAACAACAAAAGCCCTGTGTATAAAAACAGATGTTAATGCCTTAAGATTTGCAGGTATAGCACACATGTACGAGATCAGAAGGAACTACACCAACAGATGGAAAAGATCATCTTTACTATGAACAAATCCAAAGATTTTTTTAAATGAATTGAGGGGGGAAAAAATGATTACATTTCTTTGTAGAATCTGTACTTGTAGAACATTAGGAACCAGAGAGGCTTTATTTAACTCTGAAAATTGTCATCTCAACTTTGATCCAACGGCACGGCAAAATGAGTTCCACATTAAAATTAATTCAAACTTTTAAAAATAAAGGCACACCATGCTTAAGTGAAACTCAAAAGCTTTACAGGCTCAACTTTTTTTAAAAAAAAGCCTTTCTAGAAAAAGGGAAACTTTTTCCCCCCTGGCTCTGCCTTACCCAAGCCAACAGAAAATACTTTGTTTCAACATAACTTGATATATTTTTGTTTTCCCACTAGCTTCCATCCTTTCAAATATGCATTGTTGCCTTTGTTTTCTGGTGAGAGAGGGTAAAATGGAGGGAGAGAAAAGGCAAAGATGTCCAAAGGGTCAAGCTTCAATTGCAGTGGGTAAACTCCTTAAAAATAAAGAAAACACGACTTCCCCTTCCCTGTGACCAGAAGCCAGGGTGCACACCATCCATCTCAGCAAGTGCATTTTGGGAATGGATACACAATAATTTCATATTCAGAAATTATTTCCCCCTTCTTCTACACTTTGACCAAGATAGACTTAAAACTTTCATCCTAACCCCAAACACATTCTGCAAGATGCCACAGCTAGAATGAACCAAGGCTTACAATACAATCACTTTAAGTGCCCCACAGCTAACATCAATCCTAATCCTTGAGAGGGCTAAAAATAAAGATTGGAGGGCAGCTCACAAGGTAGCCGTGATCAAATTAGGAGGCTGAGAGGACAGAGAGGGACGAAGAAGGAAGCTTATAAACATCTGATCCAGCTGACTGTGGCCATATGGCAGCTGCTGCCCAGATAAAGAGATTAAGAATAGAGCAGTGCGATTACAGCTGTCTGGCCAATTCAGGCAGCTCAGATCTACAAGTTCTAAATTAGTCGCTAACACAAAAACTCCTGCAAATAATTATTGTTATGCTGAAATAAAAGATCTCTTAAATATATATTCGAAAGAGAAATGAGGAAACCAGTCAAACTATTCTCCTGGGGACAAAAGTTTGGGGGTTTTTTTTGTTTTGTTTTGTTTTCTTCTTAAAAACCTTCGGTTTCAAAAGCACTACAGCTGTATGTTTCAGTCGTGCTGCTGAATGTGCTGAAGAATAAAGTTTCACAGTGGAATTAATTACACAACAATCTAGCTTCTTAACTAGAATAATCTTCTCATATAAGTTTGAATGCTGGATTCCAGACAGTTTACTATTTCTCCCCCCCCCCTGCCCAAAGCAAAAGGGATCTAAAGAGCAATTAACAACAACAAATGCATTTTTTAATCCAAACTGATCTCAAAAAGCAATATTTCAAAGCCTTTCCTCACATTTCAAAACTTGAAATATTTCTGTGTATTAAAGTTATTTACTTGCTCAAGTAAAAGGGATAAAAATCAAAACTAAACAAGCCCAAGACTTTCAACTCCAGTAAGATGTTCATTTAAAACTCAATTGCATATATTATTTCCTAAACTGGGTTAGAAAAGAAATGTGATTTTTTTTTTCTTTTAAATTAAATAAACAAAACACCCAAACAGAAATATGCTCAATCTAATCTCTTGCTACTCCTACCTTTAGGACACATAAACCTGATTAAGGCTTTTCCTCTGAGTCTTGCTGGCTCCAGGTCTGTTACATCGGTGGAAAAAAAGCAGACTAAGAGAGACAGATGCAAAGTGGAGATGATGTTAGAGAGGAATGATACCTTCTCCACCACAGATCCGCACACACTAACTCCCTGTCTGTGTGTTAGAATAAAAGGCTGAGGGATGGCAGGCTGTCAGCTGCTCTGACATCATGTTCAGATGGAAATGCTACCTCCAGCTGTGCCCCTTTTAATGCCATATGCTACTCCTCTACACTCCTGCCACCAGCTTTTTCTTAGGAGAACTTTTCTCTTCTGTTAGTATAAACAAAATACTTCAAAGTCTTCCTTTTTTCCCCAAACTTTCTAACAGAAGAAATTGAAAAACTCAGCATATGGAGTTCTACTGTATTTATGGAATCGCAACACTTCTGTCTTAAGTTGGTGGACTGGCTTACATACTGACAGCACTCTCAAGCCCCAGTGCTATTCAGGAAATCCAGATTCACTTTTACTCAACTCCAATGTTCAGTTTTAAAGGCAGTTTAGGGATATTTTTAAGCCAACCCATTTGACATCTTCAGTCCCACTTCAACATTAGTACGGCACTATTTTTTCCCCCCCTGAGATAATGGTATACATATCTCAGAAATGTTGGCAGACTTATTCAGAACTATTACTTCAGCCCGGTTCTCATTATTATTTCACTCTTATTTAACTACTTAACCTACAACTACTTTCTCAGTGAAATTTCTCACACTGCCACAGTGAATGCAAATTTCAATTCTCAGTATCAACAAGCTGAAACTGCACTTTCTGAAATCCTGGAAAGTACTTCAGTTCAATGAGACCAATTAATAAACTGATAAAACCCGCTACAGTCACTTAAGATAAACGCTGCACCTGCATGTCTGATGTGACTTGCTGCTCAAAACCAGCAGAACCTTGTCTTTCCCTTGATCTGTGTCCCATAACAATTTTGGGGGTCAGTCTGTAATGTTCACGATCACAAGAAAACCTTTCAGAGGGAATGCAGGGGCGGAGGGGGTGGGGGAGTCACATCTAGTAAGTTTGGGAACTTTTTAGCGAGAATTTACGGGTCTTTACTAATGGCTGATGAAACTGGAACGTAACCCAGGCTGGGCTGACCGGTGCCGTGCAAGGTGCTGCGACATCTATGAATGTCACATACATTTCACAGACTCTGGGGAGGGTGAGGAGCAGAAAAGAAGCTGGGGCCTGAAGCGCAAGCGTCTCAGCCCGGGTGATAACCACTCCTTTCTCCTTACAAAACCATGGCCGAGAGTTACAGAGCCACAAAACCCTCCGACGACTCTGCCCTGTCCTTGTCACTCTGCCAAAGTCACAAACGTAACTTTCTGTAACTTCGCGGTGAATGGCACAATTATGAACGCCTAGTTCAGGAGGCACTCGCTGGAGCCAGATGCCTCCCCAGCAGCACAACCTACTCTCCACAAACGCCCCATTCCAACCTATCAGACATCAATCACCCCATTTACCCAGCGGGGTGGGGGGTGGGTGACACTTTAATGACTCCCAAGCACCGCAACGGACCAGCGACCCCCACCCCCGCAGATGAACCCCTTCTCATCTCGCTCCCGGGGATCCACAGAGGTCCTGCGAGCTTGGGGTTGTGCTTTTCAGCGAGCTGGGGGCAGGGAGCGGGGCAGAAATGCAAATCTTGACGTACTGGGCTGTGCATAAAACACACGGGGAAAGAGGAAGGTGAAAAACCACAGGGAAGGAGGCGGAAGGCGCAGAGCCGGTGCAGCAGGAAAACACCTTCCACAGCAGCCGACAACACAGAGCCGGGTCACGGCAACAACAAAAGAAAAGTCCTAAGAAGCAGCAGCCGGGGTAGGGGGGAGGAGGCTGCTGGCTACCGCTTCCCCGACGCCACCGCGCGCGAGCCCCCGGGGCCTCCCGGCAACTGCACCAGTCGGGGGGGGCTCCCTCCCCCGCGCCCCCTCCCCCCGGGCGCCACTGCAGCTGCACCGGTCCCCGAGCCGCGGCCGTCCCGGGCGCCGCTGCAGCTGCGG